GAGACCTGTCTGAGGCCCACATGATTTTATTGTTTCAAGTTTTGATCAAACTAACTCAGGAGGGAAAGGCAGAGGAGCCCTCTTTTGTGCCGCTGCGTCAAACATCCACATACAAGAAGGAAAGAGACGTGGAGAATCCACAGGCCAGGCACTGGCGGCCGACATCCGCATAAATACAGGAGGGCATCCTCGCTGACCTGACAGCTGGTTTAGGCTGCTTGGATTCATCCTCAAGATGCTTGACAGGCTGGCCCAGCCCACATTCCTTCTTCCCCAGCCTCAGGCCAGCAGCTTTGGCCCGGGTGGCTCGGGGACATCCCGGACCACTGCTGTGTGCTGGGCCTGCCAGGGGGTGTCCCCAGCCAGACGGGGCACGGGATAGCTGGGCAGAGGGTCCAGGGCCAGCGGCTCCCATCAGAGAGCCGACAACAGCCAAGTGGCCCCTCATGGCACCCCAAGCCTTGGCCCTGCATCGCCCCCCACTCACCCTGACTGCCCACCTCCCCTGGCTTCTACTCAGCTTGCTCCCAGCCCCCCAGTTGAGAGAAACCCAGCCAGTCACTCTTGCCGAGGACACCCAACTCCTGGCAGCACCCCAGACCCTGGCTGGGTACCCGACCTGGCCTTCTTGCTCATCTTATAATGATGCTGTGAGGCAGGGTGGGCAGAGCCTCATCTCTACATCACCCCAGTCTTGGTCAGCACCCAGGGAAGAAGGGGTGGAGAACCAACTATCAGACCCCCGGCCACCTGGGAGACCAGGAGAGGCCACCCTGGGGCCCAGCTGGGTCCTCCACCAGCGGTGAACAGAGAAAGGACCACATTCCACCAGGACCACCACCCAGATGGCCGGAAGAAGATTAAGGAAGAGAAAGGGAGGAGGACAGAAGACCGTGAACCAGTGAGGAACCACAGAACCGGAATGGAGCTGCTCAGTCCTGTACTTATTTGCTTTCCTTCCCCAGCGTGCCTTCAGCGTGTGCCCTGTGTCCTGCTGGGGCTCGAAGGCTAACAACCAGCAAGGGATGGTGGAGGCTCTAGAGGAAAGGGCCTTGCCTCTCTCAGTGGAATGTCCCTCACAGACCCCCAGGACAGAGAGCTGCCCCTACTCTGCACGTCCCCCAGCCCAAGCTGGGCTCCGCAGCTTCTCCACATGGAGGCTCCTCAGCCGGATGCTGGATGCTCCTAACCCACCCATGTGTCCATCCAGCACCGTCCATCCACAGTGGGGGTGCGGGACATCACAGCCCCCTGCCCTACCCAAGTGCACCCATGAGCCCCTTGAGCAGAAAGCAAGAGCTTACAGACAAGTGTCTGAGTTTGTAACTCATCCCCCCCCTTCCCACCAGAGAATCAGGCCGGCAGAAGACACCCAACTGGTGCTGAGCAGACAACGGCCCCAGTGGGGTCTCCCTGCTGACCCCCACCCTGCCTTCCCACCCGCAACTCCGGCAGAAGCTCGGGTGGGTAAAGTGGTGATGGAGGGGAAGCAGGGATGTGAGGTACCAGCCCAGGCACAGTGCCAAGGCTCCTGTGAGGGTCGGTCTTCCAGGGTCCTAGAAGATGGTCAAGCCTGCTGTCCGGACCCGAGGATACTCAGGTGTACAGAAACACATGCCAGCTGCCTGAGATGGGGCCTTGTCAGCTGATGGGACTTGAGGACGGCGCACTGGCCAGGCCTGGGGTTCAGGACCTGTGTAGACCTAAGGGCCGGTGAGACTCCAGGGAGCAGAGGGCAGGGGGCTCTGGAACGCCCAGGAGCCGGCCCCAGGCCCAGCTCTGACCCCTGCTTGTGGCAGCCCTTCTGAGCACCCGCTCACTAGTTTGATAAAGAAACGGTGAGCCACCTGGCCAGGAGAGACCCATAACATCCCATGGCTGTCTTCCCACTGACACCGGATTTGAGGAAGGGCGATCCTACAAGGGCAGACGAGGACCTCGAATGCCGGAAAAGGCGAAGAGCCGTGCCCAGTTCGATGCTCCTTCTGATGGGTGAGGAGCGACAGCCAGCCTCTCGAAGGTTGGAGAGCATCGATTTTTACACGATGCCGTTTAAGAACTCAGACTCAGGACGGTGCCAGACGCCTTCCCTCAAACTCAGGCCAACCCCTCTTCTCCCGCCCCCACCACCCTGGGTCAGCTGGATGACTTTGGCATGACTTGAGGACATGAGGCACACTGACCAGTCCTCCTGAGCACCTCTGTGTTCTCCTGCCCTCCCCCAGACCCCTAATGATCCCACTACCTTGAACACCCCCAACAGTCTGCCTTCCTTGATGGTGAGGTACCACAGGGAGCCTCCTCCCCGCAATGCCTGCCTGCAGCCAGCCGTGAGTCCCAGGGAAGTCTCCCAGGCTGGGGAGCTGGACACAGCAGCCATGCCGTCAGCGAGCCCAGAGTCAGGAACCCCCAGGGAGCCCGGGGCAGAGCAGAGCCCAGCTGAGCGGGCGACAACACACAGATACCACCCACCTCTCTCTATAAATAAACTTGTGTAGGAGATACAGCACTCACCAAAAGCTCTCGCACAATTATATTTTTAAAAAGCAAAGCAAATCAATAGGGACAAGGCCCTCCCTTAGAGGCGCCGCTGTTCCAGGTAGAATTCAGCCTTTGGGTGACATCAGAGCATGTGTGTTTACTTGTGCAGGGGGACCATGGATACAGGCTTTCAGAAAGGTCCAGGGCTGGAAAAGGTTCCCTCTTCCTGCACTCCAACCTCCCAGGGGATCCCGGCTCAGGTGGGCTCACGCCAGCTTATGGGAGCAAGGAGCTGACCAGTCTTCCCCCTCTGAGGGGTGGTGCCAGCTGAATAGTATCTGGGGAAGGACCTCAATCCACTGCTGTCCCTGGACACACCCTCCAGCTACAGGACACACGGCAGATCCCTAGAGAAACCTCAGTCATGTCTGCTGCCCATTGTCCCAAACACAGCCCAACTCCGGAATTATAACGAGCTATGAAGCTTCCGCCTCCCACCAACAGTCTTCCCAGTAAGTCGCCCTCCCACACCTGTCCACCAACCTATCTTAGATTCCACACGGGGACTGGGCATCTGCCAAAGGTCAGCACCCTGTGCTGCTAGAGTGGGCCTGGGGCAGTGGTAGGATTTCCCCGGCTGTGAGTTCAGTTTACAAAGTCTCCCTGTGCGCAGGCTGGTGATACTCCAAGGATATCCCCAATCACTGATTCATTCCTGGGGCTTTGGATTGTGCTGTGAGGCGCCAGGGACAAGGAAGGAGGGGTGTGTGCATGGTGGGACTTTCGGACGGAGCAACTCTCAGGACAGGAAGCAGGGACTCTGGGGTGCCCAAAGCAACACACCCTCTTCCCCAAGAGGGACAGGCCTGGGAGCTGAGAAAGGCCACGACTGTTGCCCCAGCTAAGTGCTTCTGTACCCTCCACCCTCTCCAGGGGGACCCAGCAACACACACAGCGGTGGCCACTCTTACTCGACTGTGGGCAGCCCGCCTGGCCACACCTCCCCTGCACAGAGCTATGCAAACAACCTTACTGAAAGTTCAGGGGCTCAGGCTGCCTGGAACGCGGGGGCCCGGTTCAAACACATCCCCAGCTATGAAGGGACAGGGCTGCCAAACCCACGGCTGTCAGAGAGAGAAAACGCAGGCCTACTCGGCCGTCTTCTCTGCCTGATCCTCCACTCTGTTGAGAGGACAAACAGGGGCACGGTCCTCTGCCCCCACCCCCACTGCCTCCACATCCTAGACCTCACCCTATGGCCCACTGTGGTACCCCCCACTCAGTATGCTCCCCATTCCTCCAAAATACAGAGGTTCTGCATTTCCACGTCTCTTACACCAAGTTTTACAAGGTCAGGAGTCTGCCAGGGGTGGGAAGGGGAAGGGAGTCTCAGCCCTTCCAGAGTGCCCAAGGACACCCTCCCCACCCAGACATCCATCCACCTAGGATGCCCACCCACAGGTCACAGAGACCCAGAGCTGATGTGGAGCTGCTGGGGTCTGGGGCAGGCCCTCGGCCCCACCCGCTACCAAAGCTTGGGACCACATCTCCCTCTCAGGCAAGCTGGGACTGTGGGTTTGAGAAAAGCCAAGCATGGTTATTCCTCTTTCTGGATCCAGGTTCCTCTTTTGTATCCAGTGTTTATACATGAAACACATAAGGAGGTACGGTTATATCCATTGTTCACTCCCTGCCTGTCTCCCAAACTGATCACAAAGTTTGGGCCTCACCACCCAGACACCAGCTCCGAGACCACTACTGGGGGTGGGGGGGAGGGGGCTGCTGGGGGGAGCCTGCTGCTCTCTGCCTGCACCCCAGTCCAAAGGTTCTGGAATTTTCTGAAAGTCTATTTACCATTGTCACAAGGAGCAAAGAGGGCATCCCCTTTCCTGTCAAGAAAAGGGACTTGGGGAGATGGAACACTGGGAGGTATCAGCAGGCTCGCTGCCCACCCACCACCTGCGTGTGACTTAAATCAGCCGGCAATGAGTTCAGCGACAGCGGGTTCAAAACCAACGTCACTGCCTCGCTCTAATCCGTGGGGAGGTGTCCAGACCCTGGCACCGCGAATAGGCCCTTGGGGTTCTCCCAACAAGCAGAGAAAACACGCAGAGTGGAAACTTCATTCTACCACCCCCGTCCTCCTGGACTCGCCCCTTCCCAGCGTTGTCCCATCTAGGGTCAGACATTCAGTCGACCCCGTGGGGAGAATGCCCCCGAGATCTCGGGCCACAGGCGTGGAGTCCCAGGCTTTCCTTCCAGCTCACGCTGGACTTGCGGCTTCCTTTCTACCCTCTCCAGTCCATAGCAGGTTTTGGAACAAGGACACCCATCAGCTCCGACAAGGCATCGTCGCTGCCCCCCTACAACCAACAAGGGACCCCCCCATCTCTGAGTGAAATGCGGACGCCTTGCCTCCGCGCGGCGCTCCCCGCGCCCGGCCAGCGCCTGGGTTCAATGAGCCCGGATGCACTGTGGCGGGCGTGGAGGGGTCCCGCGCCCCAGATCGGGAAGGATATGGGTTACAGACTAGGCGGAGGCACCAGCTGCGCGGCCGCGTGGTCTGCCCGAGACAGAAGAAGACCGTGGCCGCCAGCGCCGGGTACGGGACGGGCTGCTCCTCGTCGGCGCCCGGCTCCGCGGTGCGCCCGGCTGCTGGGCTCTCGGGGGGCGACGTGTCGGGGCCGGACCCCAGCTCCTCCACGCGCCCCGGAACCCCGGGGCTTCCCGGAGAAGACCCCGCTGCCGCCGCAGGGCCCGGGGGCAGCGCAGCCAGGGGCACCCGGACCTCGTCTGCCGCCAACGTGCCCTCGGTCATGGTGGCGGCAGACAGCACCTGCGGAAACAGATGCGCTGACCCGGGTCTCCGTAACGACACCCCCACCCCGGCTCGAGCACAGCGGAGCTGCGGGAACAGCCGTGGTCGCCGGGATGTCTTTGTCTTTTCTGATTGGAGACAAATGCGCCCCCCGCCCCCCACCCGCCCCACCACACTCGCAAAGACTAGGCAGCCCCTCCCCCACCACAGAAGCTGGGGGGCGCTCCCTAACGGCCCGGCTCAAGTTGAAGAGGGGTCCCAACGTGCGGTGAGCGCGTGTCCCCAACGCGTCTCACCTCTCTCCGGCGTCCGGCGACGTCCCCGCGGGCATCGCCCAGGCGGCGCGGCCACCGCGGACCGGGACGGCCACCCAGGCCCAGTTATGATCGCCGCCGCGGTCCCCCGCCCGCGCCCCTCGCCCAGCGGCCCCGGCTCGGGCTCCGGCTCGGGTTCTGGCTCGGGCTCCCGATGGCCGAGCGGCAGTGACGGCGGTAGCCCGAGCACTGAGGGGGACCGCTCGGTGGCGGGTGGGGCCGGGCGGGGCGCGGGCGGGGGCGCGGGCCGGGACACCCAGCGGCCGCGGGTACTGTAGCCGGTCCACGCGCAGCGCAGGAAACTTCGGAGTGAGCGGCGGAGGGGGAAGGGAGGGGAGGAGGCGGCTCCGGGGGCGGGGTCAGCGCACTGGGGGCGGGGCCGGCAGCAGCGTCCTGCGCGGGCCAGGGGCGCTCCCCGCGGGGACGAGGACCCGGCGTTGGGGGCTAAGGGACCGCCTTCCCCCATGGGCCAAGCACCGCTCCACCTAGGCTGGAGCATGGGGTCCACTCGGCCCGCGCCCCGCCCCCTACCCCGTACGAAGGCACCAGGGGGCGCTGGTAGCGAGGCTCTGGTGGGGGGCGGAGAGCAGCGCGACGTGCTTCCCCTCCCCCAACTCCGGGGCAACGCCCCTCCCCCTCAGGCGCCGCGGGCCGGGGGCGGGGACCAGGGCGCGTGGGCGGTGCGTTCGTGTGTGTCCTGGGTGTGACGGTGCGCGCGCGCTGTGTTCGTGGGTGGGCGCCCTGCATCCGCGCCAGCCGCACACACATACACACTCACACACAGGCAGTGTCTGTGAACCTGACCCTGGGGCCAAGCCTCCTCCTGGGAAAGGTGGCCAGATTCCTCGGTACCCACCCTCCACCACCACCCCACTCCCGCCCACCCACGAACTCTCGCAGACATAGGATGGGCCACCCCACATTCCTGGGCTCCAGGGGTCCTGTATGGAGGAAGACTCGTAGGGGCAGGGAGGGCCCTACTCATCAAGAGCACAGTCAGCCAGGGCAGGTTCAGAGTGAGGGTGGAGTGAGGGGGGAATGAGGCCTATCCCCTCTCCTTCCTGAGGCTTAGGTGAGTTAGAGGTTGTATCACCCCAGTACCAGCTCCATCCCATTATCCTCACCCTTAATGGCTTCCAGTGTTGTGTTTCCCTAAGCCCAGTGCACAGAGGCTCTGCTGGGAGAAGACCTCCTCTTCTGGACCAAGGGTTAGGGGCTGGTCCTTACATAGCCACTCTGGTGGCCTCAGGCCTCCCCACTCACCCACCCTCAGTCCCGGTACCTTCACTTCATGGGGAGTTGTAGACCAGAGTGGGTCTTCCAAATGAGTGAGCGTTTCCCTTGGCAAACAGTGAGCAGGCTCAGTTAAAGAGTCAGAGGTTCAAGTCCACCCAGAGAGTCCCCAGCCGTTGAAAACCTGGTAGAGTAGTTTTACTCAGGTCAGAATCTACTCCTCAGCAGCTAGTTTTTGCTGGGAAGGGAGGAAATAGAGGCCCAGCCTTGCACAGAACCTGGACTCGGGAGAGGTGCTGGAAGGCGGGAACCTGGTGTGGGTCCAGACAGGCACCCACCCCTCAGCACCACCTCCTCTTGTACATGTAAATTTTGCAAGGAAAGGAAAACATTGACTCTATTTTAATGTCGTTAACTTGAGGTGGAGGGCCTTGGCTGGTAATTCAGGTGAACCGTAGGCACTGTGAAACTGGACCTGGGAGAGTCCAGGGTCTAGGTCACAGTCCCTGAGGGACGTTCTTAAAGGTAAGGCAAAGCTGCAGCCAGAGTCCACCCTGGAACCCCCTGGCCCTTGTCTCATCCTCCTCCCCATTAAAGTTCTATGCAAGGGTTGTCAGTAATTTGCTAGTTACATATTATTTGGGTAGTCAACAGCATGCCAGGCCCTGAGTGAAGCTGAGGGTTCAGGGGTGACCACATCCTTCATTCTAGCCAGGAGCAGGCTGCAGGGACAAGTGTAGTCCCAGGACAGGTGGAGAACACCGTGACAAGCCATGTTATGTGCCACAAAAGTGTCCACAGATGAACCATAAGAAAGCAGCTTAGTGAGTGGCGGCTTGTGAAAGGGCCCTATGGCCCACAGGCGAGAGCTGGGGCTTGGGAGGAACTGGAGAGGACCCAGGTGCCCTGCGGTGAGAGAGGGAGGGGACCCAAGAAGGAATTGCTCTGGTATTCTAACCACAGCCGTCTGTCACTCTCTTACCTGCTCTGTCCTCCAGTTCTCTGCAGAAGCGAATGGGCAGTGGGTTCTTGAAAGAGACATTATTTTGTATAGAACGAATCCATAAATTCACAAAGCTGACAGCACCTGGTCCATTTGCAGAGCAGTGAGGCCAAGCAGATACCTGGAGAGGCTGTTCCACCTCAAGAGCTCAGGAGCCCTCCTTCCCCGGCTTCTGTCTCATCCCACAGATCTGTCAGTATTGTTGCTCTGGGCTTTTCTTGCCCTCATCCATAAGTCCAGCATGATCCAGTGGAAAGACGGACAACTGGGGGTGGGGCAGGAGATGCAGAGCAGACAATAAATTGGTATTCAAGGAGAAAGTCAAGTCAGTTAGAAACAGACAGAAGCATTCTCAAGTCAAAGAGACACTCCAAATGCAAGATGAGCCAGGGAGCATTTTTAAATGGACATTACAATAGTTTAATTAAACTGAACAGGGTTTTACGTGTGTGTTTGTGTGTGTGTGTGTTTTAATCCTCAAGGCCTCTGGAAATCTGGGTCTGCATTTTGTGATTTCCTCTTCTCCCCTCCTCCTTTATTAAGAGCAAAATTTTTGTTTGTTTGCTTGGTTGGTTGGTTTTTTGGGTGTTTTTTTTTTTTGCAAGGAGCTGGGAGGTGGGAGTGGGGAGTTCAGAAAAAGGTGGAAGCAAGACGTCTTGTCCCAGTTCAAGGAATCAACCTTGAGTGACTGGGCCCAGGGGTTCAAGCCTCCCCTTTGTGGGATGGTGGCCTGTGGGTGCTTTAGGGGGCTTCCACCTTGGGAAGCTGGGCCATGGGCCATGAGCAGTCTGACCACCTACCTCCCCTCCCTAAGGGTCTGTGGGCACCCGTCCAAGCATGAGCGCTTAGAAGACAGGCCTGGCCGTGTGCAACTCTGGACCCTTCTGTCCCCTGCCCCACCTTGCACTATATCCTATACTCCCTGCTGGGCACTAGTCGTCACTGTCCACCTCGGGCTCATCGGAATCTACCTGCTTGGAAATCAGTTCATTGTCCCTCCTTCTAGCTGGCTTCTTCCTTCCCTTCCATCTGCCTGCACCCCTTCCGTCTACCCATCAGGGTCCCTGAGTTCTATGGGTCAAGCCTAGGCTAATGGCTGGACCCTCGGGTCCTCTGATCATTCAGGACCCTCCTCTGGGCGTGGTCTCTAGTCCTTTTCCCTCCCCTACCCCCTTCAGACTACAGACCCAGCAGCCAGCCTCTCATTGGTCCCCAATGCTGGACCAACTGCTTGCTGACCACTCTCCCCAATACACACAACTACCCTCCAGTCATTGCTTGCAAGCAGCCCTTCCAGGCTGAGCAACGTCCATGTTCAGGGGACCCCTGCAATGTGGAAAGCTCGCCAGCCCTGGTCCCTGCTTCCTGTTTTCCAGCCTCACCTGTGACTACCTTCCTGAGGGTGGCGCCACAGCCTCCAGGGTGTTACATCTGTGGATCATACCTGTTCCCAGGTGGGCAGTGGGGAACTTGTAGTAAATGAAAGAGGGATGAGAACAGGGTTGAGTGGACTTCAGTATGAACCAGGGATGAAGAAGGGAAGCTCCAACATGCCCTTTAGTCTAGGGGTGCCCCGGGATGTGCAGCCTTGAAAGTTGGGAGACTGGGTTCACTGCAGTCATGGCCCAGTCTAGTCCCTCTCCGTTGCACCTCAGATCCCACAGCAGGTGTCTGAGGTGACCATCACAGCCAGGCCATCCTGAGGTGGTCACTTCTCAGTGCCCATGTGTCTCCAGCTGCCTGCTGAATTCTGTGACCTCAGACCCAGTCCCCCATGGGGGGTGAGGGCACTGTGGCCTGGCAGAACTGTCACCTGTGTCCATATGTCCATCTCCCAGTCCTCTCAGGTGTCCTGCCGTCACGTGGACAGCCTTTGAGTCCGGCTGGAGACACACCTGCCAGGTGCCGTTCCTAAGGAACTGCCCAACCTTTGCTACCTGGAAACCGGCTCAGCGGCCCCTCCAAGCGCTCAGGGCTGCAGGCCGGGCCTTTAGACTCCAACCTGGTCTAAGTAACCCCTGAAGGGACTGGGCTGCCTCTGTCCATGCCTGTCCCCTGCTGAGTGTCCTTCACCATTACCTGGGCTGAAGGTCATCAAGGATGTTACCCTTCCCCACACCACCAGCCACACCAAACAGTGACACCCCCGAGGAAGCCCCAAGAACACATGACAAGTAACAGGAGAGATCTTTCCCAAATAATGTATTTGTCCTTAAATCCACGACACCTCCTCTATTTCAGGGCCTAGAAGTTGAGGTCTAATTAACACCTGCTGTTACTAGCACATTAATATTTAGTAAGATGACTCATAGCTAGTAATTACCAACGCCAGCGTTAAGGGACCCTGGTGGTATGGTGAGTTAAGCACCAGAGTGTCAACTGAAAGGTTGAATGCACGAGCCACTCCTCAGGAGAAAGATGAGGCAGTCTGCTCCTGTAAAGGTTTACAG